CAGGGTTCGATTCCCTGGCCGGGAACTCCTCTTTTTTTCCTTTTTTGGGCAGGCCTGAGATTTGTTAGACCTTTGTGACGTGGATTGGGAGATTGTGGGCTCGAGAGCTGCGGCTGAGCTCCACTTGGGGATTCTTGGGGGTTCGGCTCGGCTCGGTGGCAGTGTGGGTCCGCTTGCCGTTGCGTGCATTTGTCTGGGTGCTGGGCCTGCATGTGCCAAAAGTCTCATCACGCTCTCCACGTCAAAGGCACGCCCCCCGGCCCGAACCGTGCTTGCCTTCCCGCTACCAGATACCCGCAACCTCCGCGTCAGGCAAGCGGTCTGCTCGATCTATCTCTGCAACCATGGCGAGCAAGGCCGCCATCAAGAGGGTGAGCGCAATCATCTTTCGTCAAAGAGGTAGCCAAGCGAGCTCTTCTGAATTCTAACCCTGTCAAAACTCTTCTCTCGACATCTGCTATCGTCACAGCTCACAAAGGAGGCGCAGCTGATGGATAAGGACCCTCCGCCGCTCGTTTATGCCCGTCCGCGCGAAGACAACATCCTCGAGTGGTAAGTCGGCTTCCTGATGCTCTTGCAAAGCTTTCATTTGGACAAAGGGCTGAAGAACCTTGTGGTTCGATCACAGGCACTACATCCTACGAGGCCCTCCCGATACGCCGTACGCCGGCGGCGAATACCACGGCCAGCTGCTCTTCCCGCCCGAGTTCCCCTTCAAGCCGCCGGGCATCAAGATGCAGACGCCGAGTGGCCGGTTTGCGCCCAACACCAAGATCTGCACATCGATGAGCGACTACCACCCGCACACGTGGCAGCCGGGTTGGAACACGTCGACGATCCTCATCGGACTGCTCTCGTTCATGTGCTCGGACGAGATGACCACCGGCTCGGTGACGGCGTCGAGTGCGGATCGCAAAAAGCTCGCGGAGCAGTCGCACGCGTTCAACCTCACGCAGAAGAAGTTCTGCCAGATCTTCCCCGAGTACGCTGGCCAACAGATCAGGGATCTGCCCAACATGGGCGACAACAAGCAATCGAGCACCTCGGCCGGCTCCGGAGCAGCCTCGGGCGACGCCAACAAGTCTGAAAAGGTGGGATCCAGTTCGCCTGAGGCGCCACCGCTACCAAAGCAGGGTGCGTGAATCCGCCAGCCTCCCACCGTCGCCACTCGCAACGACGAGGGCGGGCGTGTGGCCAGCATGGTCGTGCAAACATGTGTCGAACTGGCTTCGCTGACTTTTTTTGTCCATCGCTTCTCACTACAGGCTTGAGGAATCGATCTGCAGCGATACCTGCGTCGAGCGGTGCGGTGGCAGCCGAAGAGTCCGAAGTCAGTCCTAGCGGGCGCCGAGCCGAAGACGCAAGGCCGCCACGCAACAACCGACGCAGAGATCTGTTTGGCTTGCGCAGCTCGCTGGTCTTGCTCGCCGTGCTGGCATACCTGTTTGTGAGCCGCGTGATGAACGCCAGCGCCAACGGCATCATCTGATGCTGTTGCCGTACAGACAGTCGATCACACTTTTCACACCCTCGAGCTGGCTTTACAGTAGTTTCGCATCGTATACCATCCCTGCTCGTATCGATCGAATCGCATCGCATCGCATCGCATCACCTTGTTGGTCGTCATTCGTGACGGGAGGATGCCGCTATCTTGAACGATCCAGAGGGGGTGATCTGGATTTTGCCGATCTAAGTGGGATCGGGCGAGATTGGGAGGGGTTGGTCGAAAATCCACGACTTGGAGGGCGCGCGTCACAGCGGGATAAAGAAAAGAGCAACACTTTCGGGGCGGGGCGAGGCTAAAATTGGGAGTAAGCACTTTAAGCGTCGCGTGGGGGCTGCTGCACGCCAAATATGCAAGGTGCGGCGCGCAGCGGCAGCGGGTGCCGAGAACAACACCATCATCTCCTCCACCCGCCTCGCTACTCGACTGCCACTCTCAGCAACCCATTCACCTCGACGGGACTCTGAGACGACATATACAGACTCATTTCGGCATGGGGCTGTGTGGACTTGTTGGTGGGGAAGAGGCGTTGACGGGGCGGCGGACGCTTGCTCGCAAAGTGCTTGTTCTCGGCGACGGAGCATGCGGGAAAACGAGTCTGCTGTTTGTACTCATCAAGCACGAGTTCCCACAGACATAGTGAGTCGTCTTCATCTTTACTTTTTTCGTGCTATCGGTGCTTATGCTGACGTTGGGAGCCGGTAGTGAGCCGACGGTATTCGAGAACTACGTGCATACGATCCAGCCGCCGCGCGCACGGCATCCGGTCGAAATGACGCTCTGGGACACTGCAGGACAGGAGGAATTCGACAAGCTGCGCACACTGTCGTATGCAGACACCCACGTCGTCGTGCTCTGCTTTGCTGCGGATAACCCTGTGAGTCTGGAAAACGTCGAAACCCGCGTAAGTGACACCTCCCAAACCTCTCCATCCACTTTGTCCTTTCACTAACGTTCGGACTTTGCAACCTGTCTGATGGGAGATGGTTAGTGGGTGCCCGAGATTCGAGACCACTGTCCCGGGGTCAAGATCATCCTGGTGGCGCTCAAGTGCGATCTGCGCAGCGGTGGCGAGGGCGAGAAACGTCGCATGCTGTCGTACCAAGACGGCGTGCGCGTCGCCAAACGCATCCATGCCTCGCGCTACCTCGAATGCTCCGCCAAACTCAACCGCGGCGTCAACCAGGCCTCCCTCGAAATCGCCTCCGTAGCTGCACACGCCCATCCAAACCGCTCCACCACCTCCTCATGCACAATCGCCTAGTTCTTCCTCCCAAGCCCCCAAAACGCTCCCTCTGCTGTATTTGTACAAACTCACTCCTCCCGACACCGATACCCTTCTCCAACACCCGCTCCCACCGAGCCCTCGCAGTTGCGTGCGAACCTGATTGCATTGCATTGTCAACTCCAACACGAGCGCTCAATCGTCCATGTTCTTGCGCTTGGCCTTGTCGGCGCGCTTCTGGAAGAGCTTGTGACGCCCCTGGTCCTTGTTGAGCGTCTTGTTGACCGAGCGGTTGCGCTCGATGTACGACATGTGCTGGGCGCCGCTGAGTGCATTGAGCGAGCCCGTGGTACGCGCTGCCTTGGGCATGGCCGCATTCGCCGAGGCGCCCACACCGCCCACCCTGCGCGCACCGCCACCACCACCGCCAAACTCGGTGCCGTGCATGTCGGAGCCAAGGTCGGCATCCGCCTCGTTGGCAATGAGCACGCTCTGCAGCAGCTCGATCTGGTCCGACTGCTTCTTGTACACCAGCTCCGGCATGTCTTCCATGCCCACCAGATGCGTGATCACGCGGAAGGCGTAGCCCTGGTCGATCAGGAACTGCTGCCGCTTGGTCGAGTAGAACATCTCGGCCGTGTCCTTGCTCACCAGGCTGTAGAAAAAGGCGTTGAAGCCTTCGTCGTTTCGACGCTTGGCTCGCAGGATGCGTCCCAGACGCTGCGCCTCCTGCCTGCGCGAGCCAAAGTGCGACGAGATCTGGATCAGACACGTCGCCTCGGGCAAGTCGATCGACGTGTCGCCCACCTTGGACAGGAAGATCGTGTTGACAATCGGGTTGTGCTGGAAGTTCTGCAGGATGCGCATGCGCTCCACGTGCGCCGTACCGCCGTGGATGAACGGCTTCTTGAGCTTCATCGCATACGCCTCGAGCGCAAACACGTTGTCCGAAAATACAATGATCTTGTCGCCGCGATTCTCGTGGTAGTCGATGAGGAACTGGCACGCCTGGAACTTTTTCGGGTTCATGCAGTACAGCAGCATCTTCTTGCGGCTCTTCTCGCGCAGATACTCGCGGTAGAACTCGGGCGTCATCGGACACCATACCTCGGCACACTGCACCGTCGCAATGTGGCCCTTGGCCGCCAGATCCATCCAGTTGGCCTCGTACAGCTTGGGCCCCACGAGGAAGTTGAGCTCGTCGATCTTTTCGTCCTCGCGCACCAGCGTCGCCGTCAAGCCGAGCTTCGAGTGCGCCTTGATCTTGGTGAGCACGCGTCGGAACATGCTCGCCGGCACGACGTGCACCTCATCCAACAAGATGAACCCCCACTCGCGAGACTCGAGAAAGTTCATCATCTTCTGCGACGTGTGCGACCGCTTGCCCGTGTTGGCGACCATCGAGTAGGTCGACACCACGATGCCCGATGCGCCCGAGAACTTTTCCTTTTGGTCGGCGGTGAAGACGCTGATCTGGTTGTCCTGGATGTTGCTCCACTGCAGAAACTGCTGCCGCCACTGCATCACGCTCACACTGCTCGTGCACAGCACCAGGCAGCTCTTCTTGATGGTGCACGCCGCCGTGATGCCGACGAGCGTCTTGCCCGCACCGCACGGAAGCACGATGATGCCGCTGCGCGCACGGCCGTTACCGAACATCTTTGCCAGACTCTTCTCCTGGTACGGCCGGATGTGCGTGATGGGCTTGAGGTCGATCTCGAGGTCGGCGTTGAGCTGGTCGTTGCGGAAGTCGTACTCCTCGAGCATCGGATAGCCGATCTCGTTGCACCGCTTCTTGACCTGCTCGATGCACTCCTCGACGATCTCGAAGCTGTGCACCGTGTCGTCCTCGTCCAGCTCGTCCGCCTCGTCCACGCCAATGATGGCCGAGAACAAGTCCGCCTCATCCTCGCGACGTGCCGCCTCGGCGCTCTCGGGCTGGGGCCCGGATCCGCTCGCACCGCTGCCACCAGCCCCGGCCGCCCCAGGGGCTTGACCGGCATTACCCGCCTGTTGTCTCGCCTTGCGCGCTGCGCCCTCTGTGCCTGGAATCACCAGGTCGCCGCGGGTGGGAGCCTGTGCTTTGCCAAGCACCTCCATGCGGCCGGACCTCGCCGCGTTCGGATCCTCACGCACGCGCGCCGCACCGATGATGCTGTCCTGCAGCAGCGTCTGGAGGATCTCTGGATGCGCGCTCTCGACAAAGTACTTGTTCTGCTTGAGCACGAGCTTGATCTTGCCGAAACTCGCCGTGTATTCGCGGATGAAGTCGAGCACGGCATCGGGCACGGGCACCTTGGAGAGTCGATTCAGCACCTCGATGATGTCGTTGGGCTGCAGACCCACCGAGACGGCGGCGTAGAGCGAGTAGGGCGTGAGCTTGTATTCGTGGATGTAAGCGGGGCGGCTGACGGGCTCTGCGATGGCGATGAGAAAGTCCTGCGCCTGCTCGGCAAGCGGGCTGAAGCCCTCGAGGATGATGTGGCCGTCGTCGGGCGAGATCCAAAGCGGCCTGCTGGCGTGATCGAGCTTGAGCGGCATCTTGGTGAAGTCGCGCGTGTGGAAGCGCAGCTCGCCCGATTCGAAGCGCTCCTGCTCGTCGTCCTCATCCATGGCTGGACCGTTGAAGCGCGGCGCGGCGCCGGAGAGGGGATGCTGGCGGGCGATGGCACTGGTGGGAGCCGCACGTCCTGCGTCTGCGGCCTTGACCTTCATGGCGGTGGCTGCTGCGCCTCGGCCTGTCCTCCTGCTGCTGCCGTATTCGTCACCCGAGTCGTCCGAGACGAAACCGTCATCGAGTGCGAACGCCTGCTCACCATCCTCATCGTCGTCGTCGTCGTCAGCACGACGGCTAACGGGCGTACCTCGAGAGCTCTGGGCGCGAGAGGCTGCAGCGGATGTGGACGCACTGGCCGAGTTGGCATTGGGACGCAGCTTGACCGTGATGCGTGGGCGCGAGCCCTCGTTGGCGGACATGCTGGCTATTCGTGCGAGCCAGCTGCGGCAATCAGCAGTTCAAGAGCTGCGTGTGGATGCGCTATCCGGCCTTGCTGGTGCCGTGAGTGCTCAGAGCGGCGCAGAACCCATGTGAAGGCGGTGAAGACGGTGATGGTGGAGAAGGCAGTGCGCGATGGGGGAGTGGCGGCGGATAAGGCTGCGAGAATGGCCATTTGACCTCCACAAAGACCGGCGCAGTGCCGCGACTCAGCCGTTTTGAGCCGCGCATTTTCGGCCGGAAGCGCGCGGACCTCGCCACCACCTCAGCTACAGCATCTCGAACGCCCTCGACTCGGCTTGGCGTTCCGCAAGGCCTGAGCGAGGCTAGGGGCAGCGCCGAGACGTCTCAATCATCAAGTATCGCCCACCAAATGCACTGATACCGGCATCCATGCAGTCCATCAACTTCACCATAGGCTCCTAGTTACCGCACACGAGTTACACAAGACCCCAAGATCCCAATTAAAAATACATTGCTACGGTGACATGGCCTACTTGCGCACAAGATCGATGAGCGGCTGTCCGTCCGCCTTCATGCGGCGCTGGCGCTCGATCGCGTCTTCCCTGCGGCGCGCTTCGTTTTGGCGCAGCGCGTTGCGGTCCATCAGCCCCAAATCGTGCATCGCGGCTGTAGGCGGTGCAGTGGCGGGGTGACCACGAAGTGCCTCCTTGGCGTCGTTGATCGCCTTGTCCGCCAACAGGCTTCCCTTGGCAAATGGGCCGGCGAAAGCACTGCTGTCGATCAGCGGCGATGGGGCGGTAGCCACGCCACTGGGCGGCGCTGCCTCTCCCGCTCCACGACCGTTCGGGCGACGCGCCGTATTCTTGCGCGACAACCCTCCACTCGCCATGGCACCTGCGAATCCGGCCTCCTGCCCAACACCGGGCGAGTCGACGTGGAACAGCACCGCCTTCTCCTGTCGCAGGATGTACGTGCGCGCATTGAGGATGGCACGCACCCAATCTCGATGCGCCGCAGGATCGGTGAGGCAAAAGTAGTGGATGTAGTCCTGGTCCGGCTTCTCAAACATGGTGATCGGGTCCTGCGAGCGCAGCGCGAACCCATTCGCCTTGGGCATCTTGACCGCCGAGCCGTCCACGAGGTAGACGTCGAACGTCGAGATCTGGCAGATGGACGTCTCGTCCTTGCCCCTTTCGTTCTTGGCGTGGTAGAGCGCATGGTCGCGCAGCTCGAGCCAGCGCTTGTTCCACTTTTTCTTGCGGTCCTGCACGTACACGTACCCAGCCAGCGCCGGCGAGCTCGCCGGGACTGCGCGAATCGAGAGGTACGGCGAGAGCTCGGTGCGCTTGATGAGGAAAAAGTCGGTCTGCGGATGCGCGCGCACGTTGACCACGTCGGTGATCATCTCGTACTCGCGCAACGGACGCTCGATGCCCAGCTGCGCCGAACAGTCAAACACCACCCAGCCGCCCTTGCTGTCGTCCATGGGCAGCCTCTCGCGCTCGATCACCTCGAGCGCC